AAATCGTTGAATAGTGGCATTATTAGAAATTATTACAAAAATTTATTAAAGGATAACATCATTTAACTCATGAACGAGAAAAGATTGCGGCTTTCGTATAGAATAATTTTTTCTATCTTACCATGTGGCTTTAAATTTCAAATTCCTCTTTTTTAAGCTAATAGAAATAAATAGGAAATAAGATAATATGAGCAGTTGTTGAAAGATCGTTGGAAGCACTTTTTAAGTGTAGTTGGAAAGAAATCGATATTTTATTCATTGACTAGTTATTATTTAAATGAAATTTCAGCCACGAATAGATGAAATTGAACAGAGAATGGCAGAACGAGTTGTACAAATTGAAAAATTACAACATAAACGAAATGTCATAACCGATGAAGTGTTCCACGAATTTTGCCAGCGTATAAATATTAAAGATATTCGGTATAGTTAACTTATTATATTTTTTATTTATTCTTTCTTTGATATTAAGACTTTGTCTATTTTAATATTGCGACATATGTACCCAACTTGTTTAGTGATTATGTTTTCTGTTCTTTTTAATAATTTATTCTTTTTTTTTAAGTCAATATGAACAGCGTGAAATGCGTTTTCATGAAGAAATGCAGGATCAGTTGAAGAAATTTGATAATGAATTGGATCGTTTACGAAATGAATTGGACTATTTAAAATCAGAAGATAAACGATGTTAGTTTTTCCTTTTTTTTTTCTTACCTAAATACCTTACAATGATGACATTAACTAATGATTTTGCCGAAACATTAATGCGTTTATTGAGGAGTTTTTTGTAGTTGTTTTTAAGTGAACTTATGTTGATAGTTGTGAAAAATCGTTGATTATCAACGGATATATTGGTTTGACAGTGTAATAATTTATACTTCTTTACTTTTTAGTAAGATAGTACTGTTATAGACTTACAAAATCACAGTCCGTATGCCGTGCGAAATTTCGTTTTTGTAAGGTTTGTATTTGGGATATCATATATCAGAAACTGAAACATGTTTTATATTTTAGTAAAAGAGAAGCAAGAAGCAGAAAGAGTAAAACGCTTAACGAAAGAAATTGAAGGTTTAAAAAAGAAGGAAGAAGAGGAACATATGGTAATAGTTTTTATTTGATAATGCTCTGAGATTATTAGCATGTTTTTTTTTTAATGGGCGTTAGCATTTTCATCGTGTTTATGCTGCAAAAATTAGTTCAATTTTTAGACACTGAAAAAGTTAGAGGCTGAGTTGGAACAAATGAAAATGGCAATTGTTTCGAAGAAGGCACTGGTTGAAGATAGCGATGCTGAAATAAACGTACTCAAAAAAGCTGCGCAACAAGCTGCTCGTGAAGTACTCATTTCAAATTTACTATTGTTTTTCTAATCATTAAGTTAATTAAATTTGGACTGATCCAAATGAAAAGATATCCACTAATTGGGAGGTATATTTCTCAGTAGATAGTTATAGATGATATGAAATTGTTGATATTTGTTATTAATAGAAATCTATCTTATTGTCTAGATTACTAATAGAACAGTTGCTATTAAGAGTGGAAATAATTATTGATTTAGATGAGGAACTGAAAGATTTATCGATTGTCAAGTTATTTTTGCACAAATTATTCTTCTGTTTTTATGGTAAAATAATTTTATAATGAGATTAACTAATGCATTAATTTTATAGGTAGCTGCAGCAGAAAAAACAGCCGCAGCATTAGAGCAAACCATTCTGAGACGACGTCATCAGCGTCACTCATTATTACATCAATGTAAAATGAATGGTATTAAATTGCCACTGCTTCAGGGATCTCTTGCCGATATTGAAATTGATGATACTATCCCCTCAAGTAATTTTTTTTTTTTTTGTTTTAACTTTTCAGGAACTGACTTGAATAGAGTATTAAGTAACTATTAAATGAATTAGAAGAAGAAAATTGTAAGCTGTTAGTTAAGATCGTACATAATCCAATGACCTTGATAATATAATAAAAAAATTTTTCATTTTCATTTGTATCTTTCTCGTTTTTCGTTTTATCTTTTAATGTGTTTCTTATCTCTATACATGACCAGGAATTATTAGAAATAGTAGTCGTTTAATCAAACTAGAAATTTGTCGATAAAAAATGAAATCGTGAAAAGACTGCGAGCAGTCATTTTTTATCTGGTTAAGTTGACAAATGTCATTTCGAAATGAAATTAGCATTGCTTTTATGTACTTAAGTTATTGTAAATATAAAATTTAATCATGAAATTGTTTTCTTTTTTTTTTTTTAAGGTACAACAGGTGCGAGTGTAAGTGTAAGTGATTCACAGCAACTCTCACATGAGCAAATGGATCGTGAAGCACAAATACAAGTGGATTATCGGTTGCTTCCAGTTAGTCTCAGAGAGGTAATCATGAAATATTCAGTTGTAACTATTTTATTGCTTTTTCAAAATTTGTTCAAGTTGCTTCCTTGCAGAATTATATATGTTAGATGAAACAGAAATAGGAGTTAAGTTTATATGCAAGTAGTGACAGAAAGTGAATTATTGGATAGATGGCAGAGAGTTAGGGAAGATGATAGGAAATAAAGATGGTAGGATATGTATAATTCCGTTCTTCTGAAGGAATTTTAAGATCGTTAATTTTAGTATGATAATGATGAGGAAGTGAAAAAAGCACTGGACAAATTGAACAAAGAAGTTAGTGATTCACAGGCAAAAATTTCACGGATTAGTGCACCAAATTTGAAAGCAAAGGAAAGGTTTGTAAAATTAATATTATTTCAAACATTTACTCAGCAGTTCATACATCTTTTTTATTATTTGGCAGTGCAGGAAGTTATGTATGCTTCATGTATCCTTTACTTTTTTTTCATATATCCTTTCTATTTCACGTATGCTGGATTTATCCCTTTCTTAACATATCTTAACATCTATGCTAGACGTATTTATTTTTGCTTAAACTAATTACGGGTATTATTTATGGATATTAGCTTAAGGTTTTGATTCTTGTTTGAATTGTCTTTATATAATTTATTGCTAGAATGGAAATAGTGAAAGAGAAGGAGGCTGAAACAACGGAAGAATGTGAATTGGCCAGAAAGAAAGCGCGAAAGATTCGTCTGTTATTTGAAAAAGTGAAAACTGATCGTTACCATCGATTTCATGAATGCTTTGAACCTGTTTCGCAGAAAATTGATGACATTTACAAGGTTCTAATTTAGATTTATTAAATTGTAATTTATTTTTTTAGATGATTTTCTATGCTAGATTTAACAGAAATGAAGTGATTTATTTCAAAATTTTAGGAATTTCATTAAATTCACAAACTAAGCTTAATGTATGTTTTGGGATCTTCAAATCTTCATCTTTTTTTTTTTTTTTTTGATTTTCTTCTTTTTCATCTTTTGATTAATTTGATTGGTTTTTAGAAACTCAGTCGTAATGAAAGTGCACAGGCATTCCTTGGCGAAGAAAATATGGAAGAACCATATCTTGAAGGTATTGCATACAACTGTGTAGCACCTGGTAAACGTTTTCGACCGATGGATAATTTAAGTGGTGGTGAAAAGACTGTTGCAGCATTAGCATTACTTTTTGCTATTCATGCTCGTAGTCCATCACCATTTTTTATTTTGGATGAAGTTGATGCTGCATTGGATAATACTAATATTGGCAAGGTGTGATTTTCTGAGATTTTTCGTCAAGCATAGAAAGTTAAGAGATTTTCACTGTAACAGTTATCGCTAGAAAATTTCATTAGCTTAAAACATCATTTTGATTATTCTAATGTAACTTTGTTTCTAACAAACTGCTGAATTTATTATGTAATAAATTTTAGGTTGCAAATTTTATTTGTGAACGTGCACGTGTTGACATGCAACTAATTGTTATATCGTTAAAAGAAGAATTTTACAATAAAGCTGATGCTATCATTGGTATTTATCCGCATCCATCCAGTTATACCGTCTCCGGAATATTAACACTTGATCTCACACCATACAAACAACCACAATCTGATTCATACATTGAATAGGTTAGTTACATTATCCTACAATTTATAATGTTGTGTAATTTCTGTGTAAAGTTATCATATGTTCTACGAATCTGCAATTTATCAGTAAACTATGTTTCCTTTTTTTTTTTTTTTCTGCAAAATTTGAACAGTTTGTTATGTCCACTTCTGTCTTATTAAATAATTCTGTTCAAATTTTATTTCCTTATGAACAAACTAAGAAATTAATTTTATTTCCACTTTTCTTCTTATTCTATGTATTCCTATACACTTTTTTTTCCTGTGACTTCTACTTTTCGTCTCATATATTATTTTATTGATAGCAAATTATTTATGTGTGTATAATGTGCTCCATGTATCATCATTAATTGTTAACATTATCAATACGTTGTCATTCTATAGCTAACATGCAAGCATTATTTTGTGTGCTGAACATTTCGCGCTAGAAATTTTTCCATTTCTGTTTGCAACAATAATCAAATTATAGTCGTTGGATATTTCGTTACAAAATTTTCATGTATATAAAAATTTGTTCCTGGAATAAAATTATCTTCATTGAATATTTTCGCATCCACAAGAACTATATTTTATAATATTATATATACGGGATCTATATGTTAGAAACTCCTAACTTACAATATATTTCTCGTAGTGAGGTGTACAAATTCCCAATTTTCTATGTTAACATAGTCATATTTTATATAAAGGAAATGAATTGCATTTGTGAGAATTAAAAAAAGTAAAAACAAGAAAGTTTCGCGTAAAATTTATTAAAGATTGAAAGCACAAAGATACAGCACTGTATCACTGCTATAATGTTATAAATTGCTGAACTGCCAAAACTAACGATGATTTTCTGCCTGAAAAAGATGAACTAAGAAGTGAAAGGTGATACAATCTTCTGTTATCTAGAAAATCAATGCTATGAATTCAGGTTAATAAAACTAAATTAAAGTTTTAGTTAATTTGAAAATCAAAGTTTATCAGCAAATGTGACATGGAAATTTACGAATTCTAAAACGAACTAACATCGTGTGAAGATTCTGTATTCTGCAATAAATCTCCAACATCCTGAAAATATCGTATGTTAGATGATTGAATCTCGCATAATCGTTGTTGTATTCGAACCAAATACCCATCGATCTCCAAAAGTTGCATCACTCCAATGTTCTCCAGTGAACGTTCAATATCCTGAAGAATACCGGATAATAATTAGTACGAAGAAAAATGATGTCGTAAAAAAAATAAGATGCCAGCACGAAAGAAGAGCTCAAAAAAATACTACAGGAAACAAAAGAAAAAGAAAGTAAATAAATAAAAATGCCATTACTATATTTAAAAGAATTGTCATACGTTTATGTATAAAGAGAAACTGCTTTCCACTAATAAATTTACCTGCAAATGCCTTCGGACAGAGGCCCGCAAATCCTCTGGGTTTCGTTGAATTCCTTCATCTGATGGTACATCGGTTGGTAAATCCGATTTTTCGAAACAGTCCTGAAATTTCGACATAAGGAATGAGTCTGAAAGATTTTTCTAAGACACAGTTGAGCTTAAACTTTAAAGAAATGATGAATAAAGATATCACAGAATTCTGCAAAAAGACTTTATTTTCAACTTATCTTGATCCTGTCCAACCTGATTTGAAAAATTTACTTCTTTAAAAAATAAACAAAAAACCTCTCTACATCCAACTTCATTATCGTCTGCTGCTAATAGAAGGTGACTATCTGGACTTATCATTTTCTGCCTTTTCCTGAATGGATGAGAAAGATTTACATCGTCAATGATTTCTACAGCTTCAAAATTTCCATATGGATTTTCTACCTAAAATACGATTCAGTATCTCATTGCAGCAGAGATTATTTTTTTTTTTGTTTATTTGTTTTTTTTATCAAAAAATCTCACTGGAAACTAATTTCAATTCAAAATTAATGGATTAAACATCATGGTAAACTTTCCTGTCTACTCTAACATAACTTTGCAATTTTGAATTATTGAGATCATCAAAACTGATCTATTGACCTGTCCAAAAATTTCATATTGCATTTCTTCTTCATCAAGTAACTCATGTTCTCCTAAGTGGACGTCAAGATCAGCCAATGTTGATGTTGTAAAATTGCATCCTACAATTGAGCAACTATATATCTGAGAAAGTTTTCCTCGTTTTGCCTGAAAAATTAATTTCAGTTCTTGCTTATCACTGTTTACATTTCATTTGTATGTTTCGCCAAAACATTTTGATAATTAAAACTTCTTCGTTGAATTCAATTATCAAAAACGTTTGTGTTTTCCCTACTTCAATAATTCAGCATTATATCTAAATTAGCATTTTCAGATTTTTAACATAATGACCTTTCACGTTATGTTTCTGTTGAAATTTCAAATGCTGCTTCTACATTTCAACATTTTACAAACATTACATTAACACTTTGTTTATGTAGTATGTAGTATAGTTTTTATCCAACCTTCCTATATCTGATTTGTTTATTATATACAAAAATGTGTGGCGATGTAATAATTTTTAATTTTAAGCGCTTCCATGAATTTTAAGTAGAGATATCTCTTCCGATTAACTTATTCACCATTCAGAATACTAGAAAGAATATTCCCAAAGTAATAAAACTTCACCATAGCATACATAAAGATTTCCCTGAGAAATGTAATTATTAAGAAATATTGCCAATATCAGAGATAACGTATAGCTTACAACAGTAAGCAGTAAATTTAATATCTTTAAATATCGATAAAAATACATACTGTAAAATCAGTTCCAGAAACACTTGGCATGTCAGAACTAGAACCAGTAACAACAGAAGTAACTGCATTGATATTTTGATCAATGTCGAGCTTTGAAAGAGCTTCATACTCGTTATCACTATCATCGGATAATGTTATTTCCTAAAATTTATTTATTACCTAAAAATAAAAACTAAGCTTAATCAATTTTTTTGACTATTTTACTGATGAACAGTTCATATTTACCAGCTAATAGACGATAAAATCTAAGTAGTTTATTGTTATCGTTTTCATATTTTAGCCCGGAACTTCGCTTAGATTTTCAACGATGACTTTATTTATCATTAACATATGGTTTATAACTAAGCGTTCTTTGCGGCAATTACTGATAAATTAAAAGAACTTAAATTTAATATATATATATATTGCAAGATATTGGTAGAAATCCGATACATGTTTCAACATACCGGATCCTGGGGCCAAGTTCCTGGTTCCTCGACTACATAAATATTCGAAGGAAAGCGTTCTGATGGAGCGATTGTAATATATCGGTAGTTTGTATCTTGATTAGTGGTATAATTAGAAGTTTTATGAATTGAGGTACCAGAAATCGATCCATTCACAGGTCTTTTAGCCAATACACTGTAAAAAATATAAAATATAACAGCAACAAAATACTACAACTGCAATAGATGTTGTCGAACAAGCAGATTTCAAATAACTTTTTGTAAGCAATTCAGTGTTCAATTTTAAAATTAAAATATTATAAATACTAAAATGCTATTTTATTTGGTAAAATATATTCTCAAAAAAAAAAAAAAGTGTTTTTATTCATACCGTCTCGATAAAACAGATTGACGATCGGATAACGGATTATTTGCAAAGTCACAGATATGTGGTGTTTTCGGATAATCTGGATGCACCATAAAGCGTCCATTACGTACCACAATTCTAGCCGGAGGAGGATACTTGACGTGTGGTTCTTGTCGTTTACCTTTATCTTTAAGTCTGCGACACAACACACATGTGTAATACATTGTCGTATCATTTGTTGGCATCTTCAAGGCCCATTCAGAAATTTTATTCGGATAACGTCTACTCTCGAATAAGATGATAGATTTACGTCGCTGGCAAGAAAGAGCTTCGTATATGACTGGACCGTAATCTCCTTCAGGGTAGCAAATTGGATTTAGTTCTAGATCTATCTGAAAATTGCTTTTTATGTGGGGAAAAAAAGTAATAGGAGGAATTAGTTAAATCGATGGTAATTAACTGAAAGAAAACATAAGACTACAAATAATACAAGTCTGGTGACAGAAAAAAAGTCGTCTGCAATAGGTACTGTAAAAGCCATTAACATGTAGGCTTCAAAAAAAAGTCTCCAATTAGCGAGAAATTTTGAAGTTTTAATGGTTACCGCTGCAGATGGGTAAACTGAAGCATTTTGTGTGGGTATTTGGCTCGACAGATTCGATATGCCCACTTCATCGTTTCTATCTGTTGAAACCAAATATTCTGCCTTAAAATCTTCGAAACAATGAAAAAATGCGATGCATGAAAAGAGGTGAAATTCTAATATTAGTTGGAAATTAGATATTAACATTAAGATGAAGAAATGAACAACCTCTCCGTATGCTAAACAACATGAATATTCGCCCAATTATTCAAGACTAATTTTATGATGCTAGTAAAAGCACTACCAATAAAGAAAACAAAAATGTCGACTTAGAAAATATTCACTCGTGTAATTATATAATTGATGAAATTTCTCAAAAAAATCAAAATGATTTGATAATTTTCTCAAACATTAGTTAGAATGATCGTTCTAAACACTACTTGAAATATTCATTCCTCCTGAAACTTGCTAAAACTTAGTCCTTTCTTTTTGTCTGTCGCATTATAGCGTTTTTGCTGTATTGCCTATGCAATCTAATCAACCAATAGATAAGCTAATTTTTAGAAAATTTAAAAAGAAGACATATATATTTCTAAATAACAATGCACAAACAAAAATTCGCTTTCGTTATCCCAAATTGGAAAATATCAATTAAATTGTATACCTCAAAAGGTGATGAATCAACTGTATTGGAATCATTAACAATACGATGCTTTTCATTCATGTGAATGTCGATCATACCAGATGCAAATGTCAAGAAATCACAATCCACCATTGGGCATTCGTAAACTTTACGCGGTTTATTACTGCGATTAGCAGCAATTAATTTACGGCGATTAATGTATAATGATCGTATGGAACTCGATTCTGACCACATACGTCCATGTATACGTCCCAATACCATATCTTCCATTTGTTCTATTTCTTCAGCACTACAAGTATTTTATCAAAGTAAAAAATATCGTCATTAGCGGTGGTAATGGTAATTTTTGATTAAAAACAAAAACCATTTCTACACGAAATGCAACAAATATAAAGTCAATTTTCACTTTTAAAGTCGTTAATAATTTTTAATGTTAATTTCTAATATTCATTTTTTCTTTACATTTATATACAATAAAGAAAATTAACTAGCCCAAGAAATGTCTATTTATATGGCGTATTAAGCAAGAGAAAGAAGCTTCTAGAAAATATTAAAATAATTTCATAAGTTCTTCTAAAATTATCGGGAGAGATTTCATGACCAGTACCTTAAATTTGAATATTTTCCATCCTCTCTAAAACTGATTAAAACTTGATTGATTTTTTCTCGTGGTGTCATGCCATCTTCACTAATTTCTGTTCGTGCACGAATCATTGCACGTCGTGCAAGAACAATTGCACGATCAGACATTGGATTATCACCAAATCCACATATGTGCGGTGTACGAGGATAATCTGGATGCGTTAAAAAACGTCCATTACGAACAAGAATACGAGCTGGTGGACCAAATTTCACTGGTGGTATTAAGCGTTTCCCACGATCCTGCAAAGAAATATTGAATTAAAACAATTAAACTTCTGCAAACCAAGAAATAAATGAATCAAATTTGTTAACAGTAGCAAGTAAACTAAATATTAGTAATAATGGGAAGTACAATCAAAACATATATATTAGGATGACTGTTTTTTAAGACAACTGATACTCGAAAATTACTAATCTTAAATAAAGAAAAAAAAGACAAAAACAATGGAAGTACAAATGATTGTGACATTAAAATGTATATTACATTATTTAATTCAACAAATTAGATGAAATTTCAAATACTGTTTAACGGATAACTAATAGAAAGTCATCTGTAACTAAATGATTATAAATATTGTTCAAGTGATTATAAATAATGAATAATTCATCAGTTCATATAATCCTTTTACCAGCAATTACAATTAATATTTGCATTATACATTAAAATCAAAATGAAAAAAAAAAAAAACCTGAAGTCTTCTGCACAATACACAAATGTAATATTTATTATCCCTTCCTGGTTCTGCTCGTAATGACCATTCGGATATCTTTGTTGGATAAAGTTCACTACTGAATAAGATAACCGAATTACGTCGCATATTGGATAATTCTTGCCAGGTTACTGGTCCAAAATCTTCACCTTCCCATTCTTGATCATCACATGATTTCCTTTTCAATTCGGATGATTGTTGCAATGATTCCGAATGATTCGTATGATGCATTTACTGCTAATAAAAAATCTATAAACAGAATACTAAAATCAATGAAACATAAAGCAAAAATTTAACTTAATCTTTAACAAAATTAACATAATTGCGTACTATTCTAGTCCATAAAAATGAAATGAAATGCTATATTCCGTAATGAAATGAAACCAGAATACATGCAATATTAAATTAAAATTAAACTTAATTAATACCACCACAACTTCACTACCTTCTAACCGACCGATTATTAGCATTTCGGTAACTATCTAATTTTTTATTTTTCACTACCTTCTAGCCAAATCATCCACAATGTTACATTTCTACACCAGTCTTCTCTCCGCATTCGCACAATCTTTTCATCTTTCTCAATCACACTATCACAAATGCAAAAATATGCACTCTTCAAAGCTCTCTCAATATCTGACACACAGAATAACAAACTCTTTTTGCAAATTTTATCAATCTGTCATACTCTCTCCCTCTACCATGTTATTTCTTCATTCGCCAAAGTTACTTTATACTTTAATTCGTTATCTATCATGCAAATTTTTTTCAGAATTCAAAATTGAAATTTCATGCAAATTTCAGAATTCAAAACTGAATTTTCGAAATTTGAAAAAATTTGAATTTGAAGTTTAACTTGTAAAGTTTAACTTATGCAGAATACATACGCAATAAGCAATTATTTCATCTGTAAAATTTTTAATATTCATTTAAACCTGGGAAAAAAAGCCTAACTTAGAAGTCTGAGCAGCCTGAAATTAATGTATGGAACAAACTTACATAATAAATAGCCTGGAATGCTAAAAAATGAAGAGCCTAAAGAATAATGCGCTTAAAATAATTGACAGCTTAAAGTATTAAATAATTTAAAGTTTCAGGTAAGAATTCGCAACATCTGAAAGAGTTGATTCTTCTTCATATTTAAATTTTGTTATAAATTATATAAAAGTTAATGTTTCTTTTTTGGTTAATTTAAGAATTCAAAATATAATTACAACATTAATTATAATTCATTTTTTTTTTTTTACATAAAATATGATAAATTTTTGAAATAGCTTCATTCAATAGAATTTCATTTCTTTTCTTTTTCAATAATTTCATTTAAATTTTGTAAATACAAAGTTGCATTAAATATTTGTAAAAAAAAAAAGAAATATGTAGTGAAATTATTAATTCTAACTCATTTGATAATAACAAATTTCCTAATATTTTATTGTTTTTGAAAGAACGAAAAAAAAATTTATTTGAATATAACTAAGAAGTAAAAATTATTGCTTAGATTAGATTATTAATGTTTATAAAGATGAAATAAGGTTAGGTTAGTAATTTTTTTTTTTAATTTAAAATTTTTTTCACTTTTTTTTTGTCAAAATTTTTGTAATAAATTAGTAATGTTTTTTTGCAAGGAAAAATTAAAATTAAATCATTGTTATTTGTAAGAAAAAAATTTCGAGAAATATTGCTAACATATATATTATATGTTAGCAATATTAATTGGAATTATATGTATAATAATTGAAATTTAAAATTGAATAACCTATCAATGTGACAGAATAAGTTAACATTTACTTTTTATTTTTCCAATTTCATAATAAATTTGTGTATGATTTGAAGAGAATGTGTAAGTTTATATTAGTTAAAAATCAAACAGTAATCAAATTTGAAAGTGAATGAGCAAAAAAAAAAAAAAAATAAATAAATAAAATAAAATAAAAACGAGTTACTATTTCAATTATCGCTTCTCTATTTTTGGTTATTCAAAATGCAAAAGAATGAATAATTTTTTTTTTTAAAAAAAGTGAAATAAATCAAAAAATTTTTCATTTATTTTATTTCTTAACTTTTTTATAGTTTATATTATTTCGTAAATTTATTACCTAAAATTGCTATTTCTTATTTCTAAATTAAATTAAATAAAAATTCTATGCTTAAAAACAAAACCAAATTTTGATTTTATAATAATAATAATAATAACAATAACAATAATAATATTAATAATAATAATAATAATAAATAATGAGCAAATAGATTATACATAAAAATGAATGAATAAAAAGTGATAAAAGATGTTTATTTTAATTATATCATTGTTTACATGAATGATTTCTTGCATTTATCGATTGATTACAATTATAAGTAAATTTTTTTCTATAAAATTCTTTTTTTTTTTTTTTTTTGATTGCTTCTTCACATTGAAATTTATACCAAATTGATTTGCTTTATTTACATTTAAATTTGGAAATTAAATCCACGAAGAGATCCGTTCTAAAATAGAAAACAAACATCACTTTTACAGTATATGCATGTGTATGTATACATACACATATGTCTGTGTGTGTGTGTATGTGTGTCTGTTCTTAAATATGTGCATGTGTGTATGTGTGTGTGTATGTGTGTGTGTGTGTGTGTGCTAGTTGGTTGCTTATTCAGCCGGTGATGACAACTTCACAGGTGTATGAGAGATAGATTGTCGACTGTTCAGGGATAACACGACAAAACAAACCTGTCACCATCAACCTTATCCAGTGTCACCCACCGGAAAGTCATATAACAAAATTGGCATCTCTCATTTTCACTTCTATCTGTGTTTATAAAGCTATCTTATCGCTATATTTTCTAAATTTCATCTGCTAAATTATATCGTTTTCTGAATTGGAATTTTTGTTTATTTCCTGAATTACAGTATTCCTTTAGTTGATTACCTGATATTGCTAACATTCGCTAGGATCAATTTAATTTAAATTGTTTTGTTATCAAGTGATAAACATATATTCTTTATCACAATGATAATTTCGATTTCAGGTTAGTAAATTGATTTATAATATAATACAATATGATATGATATGAAAACCTGAAATTAATACAAACGGTAGTAAACGGCTAAAAGTTCCGGTTATATGTGTCCTGTCATTTTCAGTTAGCAAATAAACAACTGAAGAACAGGTAATTTCCTCAAATTACTGTTAATCGTTTTTCCACTAATTTGAAATAATTTATTGTATACGATTGCAGTATACCAATTTAAAACAGATGAATTTTATATGTGATGCAATTAAAAATTCAGAAATTATTTCTAGGATTTTATTTTTTTTTTTTGAAATTTTAATTTTTTAAAAGTTTTTGATTTGTTTTTTTTTTTTTTTGCATAATTTGTTAAATGAAAATAGAAAGCAGTAAAAAATTTTTGAAATGTTTGACAGAAAATTGTCAAAAAGCGATTAATTAATTGATTAAAATTTATTTTATTAAAATATGCTACGTTTAATTTAAAATTTGCTTCTCAAAATGTCTAAATTTAACAAATATTTATAACAATTCGAAAGTTTCTTCATTTTATTCTCTCTTTAAATCTCAAAAAAAAAAAATTGCATTCGTTCGAATAAATTTTCTCTTTCAAATGAATTTATTTTTAGCATTGTGTTAATATTTTTTAGTATATTTACGAGATTAATTAATATAATTATGAGAAACAATCGTTAATTGCAAGCATATTTAAGTATATTTCTGATAAGTAAAATTAAACTTTAACTATTATCTGAAAATGATAGTTTGAAAAAATAAATAATTTTACTTACTACTTATTACTTATCTGTCATAATTTCAATTAATTATCCACTAATTATCCTTAATGCAAAACTAACAATCAAATTTACTTATTTCTTCAGTAATTTTACTCAATTTTTCCTAAATTAGTATCAATTTCACAAAATCCACCATCGATCTATTCATCATCAAATTATTCCAATAAAATAAATTTCTCTCCTATATATTTTTTTTCATTTTCATTTAAATATTAAAATTATAATTTCAATCAAAGATTAAATACAAAATGCTTTTTTAATTAGTTACAATTTAAAGGAACAATTGAACAATTTTACAGATAATATTACTTAATTGAAATATTTTCTTTTTTGAGGAATAATTTTATTTGAAAAGTTATAAAATTATTTAAGTATTTAAGTTTTTCTTTTTTTTTTCAGTTTTATTACTAAATAGTCCAAGAAATTCTGTTTTTTTGTTTTGAATATGCAAATACTTAAATTTAATTTTTTAACACTATTAAGTTTTAAAAGACTATTAATCGAAATTTATTGTTGATAAAGCATTGCTATTAATTGATAAATAAAAAACAAATATATCAAAGCTTAAAAAATTGCCATTTCAAATTTTATTTTAAAAGTTACGTTTTTCTTTTTTATTAATTAATACTTTGATGTAAGAAATGTTTACTTATGCTTTTAGGCTAAAATATTGCATTTTTTTTAACGATAATTTATGAAAATTCAGCAAATTTTGATCGTATTATTAATTAATTAACCGTTCCTTTGATAAGATAATTAAGTATAAATTCTTAATTTAATTATGTAAATTTATTCAATTTAGCTAATAATAAGCATCTGTGATCAAAATGAACAATACTTATTGAATGCAAAGAATTTTTTTAATTTCAAAATTATTATTAGTAATTAATTGACTAAGTTAATTTGCATTTGTGCATAAATTGCACAAATTTTCAATCATATACTTAATCCAAAAATATAATAATTGAATGGAATTTTAATTGGAAATGCTTTTAAATTAAATATTAATTTTTTAAGTCTAAATCTAACCTATGTAAACGTAATAAATTCAAAATTTGATTGGCAAAATTTTGCAATAATACTGATGTAAATAGTTTTTTTTTTAGTTATAATATATTGAATGAATAATTTGGACGGGAAAAAGTAAACATTAAAAAGTATTGGAGAGATCAATTCAACTACTATCATATTGTTATCATTTCAGTTGAATAATTTTATCATTGATTATAAATAGTAACATTATCAGTAAGCAATTAGTAGGAAAAATTTTTTGATTCATATTTGAAAAAAAAAATTAATAGGATCTCAAATTTGAATTTTAGTTCAAATTTAAATTAATAGACTTTCAAATTTAAATATTAATTCAAATTTGAACAAAAATAAGCAATGAGTGAAAGGAATGCAATATTTTATTTTCATTCCATTTATAAC